ACATGTTATTTGCTATATATATATTTTTTTTTGGTTTTTCGAGACTGGGTTTCTCTGTGGCTTTGGAGCCTGTCCTGGAACTAGCTCTGTAGACCAGGCTGGTCTCGAACTCACAGAGATCCGCCTGCCTCTGCCTCCCGAATGCTGGGATTAAAGGCGTGCGCCACCATCGCCCGGCCTGGCTAAATTTTTTAAAATGGATTTTATTTTATGTGCAGTGGTGTTTTGCCTACATGCTTGTGAGGGTGTTGAATCCCCTGGAACTGGAGTTACAGATAGTTGTGGGCAGACATATGGGTGCTGAGAATTGAACCCAAGTCCCCTGGGAGAGCAGTCTCTTCCACTGAGCCAACTCTGCAGTCCCTGAACTGAATTTTTAGATTAACCAGTGCAGTGGTGGAAGTGCAAGGCCTTCTTAAGTCTTGTTTTTTAGCCTGTGTCCTGTCTTGGGCATATATCTGAGAACTTTCATTTGTTCCGATGCAATTATTTTGTTTTTCATTTGTCTGTTGGTTTTGAAACAGTCTCTCGACATAGCCCTGGCTGTCCTGGAACTTACTATGTAGACCAGACTGGCCTCCACTAACAGAGATTTGCCTGCCTCTATCTCCTGAGTGCTGGGACTAAAGGTGTGTGCCCCACCACTTCTTCTACATTTTAAAGATTTATTTATTTATTATGAATACAGTGTTCTGTCTGCGTGTTTGCTTTCCGGCCAGAAGAGGGTGCCAAACCTCATTACAGATGGTTGTGAAACACACTGTGGTTGTTGGGAATTGAACTCAGGACCTCTGGAAAAACAGTCCGTGCTCTTTACCGCTGAGCCATCTCTCCAGTCTTCCCCCTTTAAAATCTTCCTTGGAGCCAGGATCTTGTTAAATTGCCCAGAATGGCCTTGCACCTGTTACCTTCCTGCCTCAGCCTACCTACCAAGTAGCTAACACTACATATGTGTGCCTTCACACCTGGCTCAAACCCTGCTCTTTTCCTCTCCCTTCTGCTCACTTTTTTCTGTCCTTTGGTATTACTTTGGTGGTTTCCTACTCCAGGAAGCCTTTTGGATTCTCCAGGCTGAGCTTGGAGTCCCCAAGACACTACAGCTCCTTTGGTGACCCTGGTCATTCTACTTGTTGCTGCTTCTCCTTTGAGGAATGGATATATATCTAAGATACCTTTGTGTTTCTGCCCAGAGTGGATTCAGAAGCTGTAAAAATGGAATGCCTTTCCCATGAAAATTTGGATAAAGACCTATGACCAGGGCTGGAGAGATGGTTCAGTGGTTAATAGCTCTGCCTGCTCTTCCAAAGGTCCTGAGTTCAATATCCAGCAACCACATGATGGTTCACAACCATCTGTGATGAGATTTGGTGCCCTCTTCTGGCCTGCAGGAATATATGCAGGCAGAGCACTGTAAAAATAATAAATAAATAACATTTATCAATCAATCAATCAATAAAAGACCTATGATCAGGAAGGCAGGAAGGACATATGGTACTGTCCAACTTGGTCTCTTGGCCTGCTTAGCTTCAGTACTGGGATACCACCTGTCCACAAGGCCTAGAGCTTCAGGGTGTGCATTGGCCATCAGGGTGCTGAACAGAGGCTTCAAACTGGGCAAGGAGTGAAGGTCACTCTTCAGCCAGGTTGTTAGCAAAGTCTATTCCTCAAAGGAGAGGCAGCAGACTCTCCTTCTTCCCCCAAAGCAAAACAAGCTTTCTTCTGGTCACTTTTGTGGCTCGGGAACTCTCCTTCAATCTGGTTCCTTCCGGCCTTGACATTAAGTGGCTAACAAGAAACACACTGAGGTCTGGCTTTCTGTATTCATACATCCCATCCGAAACTCCTGTGGTGCCTGCCTAGCCTAGCAAGCACTGGCACTGCCAACTGCACCTGACCTTGTGACTGCTATCCTTATTTTCCAAGCCAGATCTCGAGTCTATAAAAAATACATTTGGGAAACAAGAACACAAGAATTATGGTTGAAGATATTCATTTCCAGAGCTGAAGCAGATGTGGTGTGAGGTGGGCAAGTGAGAAAGTAGGACCAGTCAGGTGGCGGTGGCACACACCTTTAGTCCCAGCACTCAGGAGGCAGAGGCATGTGGATCTCAGTGAGTTGGAGGCCAGCCTGGTCTACAAAGTGAGTTCCAGGACAGGCAGGACTGTTACGCAGAGAAACTCTGTCTTGAAAAACAAAACAAAACAAAAACAATAAATCAAACAACAAACAAACAAAAAAGAAAAGAATAAGTAGAATCATGGCCTTAGCCTTGAATTTGTCCTGGGTCGGAAGAAGGGTTATCGTCATCGTCATGAAGCCCTTAGATGGCACTGGTTTACAAAGAGGATCCATGGGTCCTGGTGGCTTTCCAGGGTACTTGGCAACTAGGACTGAATAGTTAGTTTTTTATTTCATGGTGGTGGGGGTGGTTTTACCGCTTGTGTGACTTGCTGCAGCCTTAAGTGGGACCTCAGGCAGTCAGGTCTGGAGGTCAGCCTGTCACAAGGTTTGGAGTGGATCACGACACTAGTCCCCACGGTCACCATCTGGGCTAGTCATGCCTCTGAATCTTACTTTCTCACAAAATGAGAGATTATACAGACTGTTTTCAAACTTCATTCTGTAGGAGTCCAGAGTTCCCTGGAGATATCACAGGACTAGAAAGAAGTGATGCTAGGAACTGTGGGAAAGAGAATGTCCTGCCTGCCTCAGTGTGCAGACCTAGTCATAAGTGTCATGTATCATATTTGAAGAAAGATACTGGCCGGGCGATGGTGGCGCACATCTTTAATCCCAGCACTCGGGAGGCAGAGGCAGGCAGATCTCTGTGAGTTCAAGACCAGCCTGGTCTACAGAGCTAGTTCCAGGACAGGCTCCAAAGCCACAGAGAAACCCAGTCTCGAAAAACCAAAAAAAAAAAAAAAAAAAAAAAAAAAAAAAAAAAAAAAAAAAAAAAAAAAAAAAAAAAAAAAAAAAAAAAAAAAAGAAAAAAAAAAAAGAGGTAGTAGTAGGTAGGCCTGGAGAGATGGCTCAGGGGTTAAGAGCACCAACCTCACAGCACCGTGGCTTGTAACTGTCTCTCACTCTAGTTCAAGGGGATCCAATGCCCTCTTCTGGCCTAAATAGGCACCAGAACACAAGTCATGCGTCGACATACATGCAGGCAACACACACAGGTTTGAAATAAAAAGTCAGGTGTGCTATAGCACACCTTTAATCCCAACACTTGGGAGCAAGAAGCAGGTGGATCTGTGTGAGTTTGAGGTTAATCTGGTCCAAACAGTGAGTTCCAGGACAGTCAGGGAAATATACCAAAACTCTGTTTCAAACAAAACCAAAATTTTGACTATTCTTGCCTCTGCCCTCCCTGTTCTCCCTTTTACCACATCAAGACTGCCTCCTCTGTATAATTTTTAATTTTAAATGTATTTTATGTGTTTTGTATGCATGTATGTCTGAGCACCACCAGGTGTACGTAGTGCCTGCCCTCAGAGGCCAGAAGAGGGTATCAGATACCCTGAGATTGGAGATGTTTGTTCTAGATGGTTGTGAGGTGGATGCTAGAAATCAGTCTCAGGTCCTCTGGAGGAGCACGTGTGTGTGTGTGTGTGTGTGTGTGTGTGTGTGTGTGTGTGTATTATCATGCATGTCATGGTGTGCTTGTGGGAAATTCAGAAGACACCTTGTGGTAATTGACTCTCTTCTTCTACCATGTGGGTTCCAGTAACCAGACTCAGCTTACCAGGTTTACAGGCAAACAGCTTTACTAACTGAGCCATCTCATTGTGCTGAGAACCATTTACAGAGTTATATATTTAAGATGGCCATCACAGCTCACACCTTTAATCCTAGCACTGGGGAGGCAGAGGCAGGCGGATCTCTGTGAGTTCAAGACCAGCCTGGTCTACAGAGCTAGTTCCAGGACAGACTCCAAAGCCACAGAGAAACCCTGTCTCAACCCCCCCCCAAAAAAAATAAATAAAAATAAAAAAAAGAAAGAGGGTCAAGAATTTAAGGTCATCTTTAGTTACAGAGTGAGTTCTGAGGCCACCCTTGGGCTACATAAGACCTTATCTACATCTCAGTCTCCCCCAGCAAAACCTCTCCACTGGCAAAGCTCTGCTGGGGGTTACCATCTAGAAGTTTCTTTCTCTTTGGGTCTTTCTGCCTCCCTCTCTAAACTGCTAGAATTATGAGATTAAAGTGTGTGACACTACTCCTGGCAGCTCTTACTATTTTTGAGATAGGTTATACTATGTAGCCTAGGCTGGTTAGAACTTATAGTCCTGCCTGCCTTTGCCTCCCAAGTGCCAGCACTAAAGGCATAATTCACTTACGTTCACAGTATTCCTTCAATGAGGTTTTCTGAAAGTAGGTCCTTGTAGTTGCTTGTGTGGGGGTGGCTGTATGTGATAATTAGCGTGGGCATGCACACACGCATGTGCACACCTGAGGTCCACGGATGTTTTCCATGTTTGCACTTCACAGGTTTTCTCCTTGAGCTTGAGGCTCACCGATTTAGTTAGACTGGTTAGATAAAGAACTTCAGGGATCTGCCTGTATCAGTCTTCTCCTAGAGCAGGGGATAATGCTTGCTTTTTAAGTAGGTATCCAAATTCAGGCCCTTCTTGAACATGCAGGCATCTTATCGACTGTATCACGTGTTCAGTCCCACAGTCACTTTCTTATCTCCCAGTTTTACTTTTTCACAATATTTAGCAGTGTCTGAAATAATCTTCATTTTGTGTACACATTTATAGTGCACCTACTACGTCCCAGGCACCGTGTGTATTGACCGTCGGATTGGAGCCTACATAAGGCAAGGTCTTTAATTGTCCAGGTCATTTGGGTCTACACAGGACTCCTCAGCACTGGGACCCGCACACAGTAGGCATTTCTTCTCTGTTACGCGCTCTGCCCGGCCCGCCCCTCCCCCGTTCCAGGAAGTGGAGGGGGTTCTAGCCGCCTGGCCTACCGCGATGCATTTTGGGAAAGCAGCAGCACCAGATTCAAGATGGCGGCCAGCAGGAGGCTGATGAAGGTAAAAGCCATTCTCTGGCGCTGGCCAGGCCGGGGGGGGGAGGGGGGGCGTCGTCCCCGGGCCGGGACCCCCACGGCGGGCCGTGGCTCCTTGGGGCGTCGCCACCCTCCATCCCTCGTTGCGTGGCCCCGCAGTGCCGCTGTGCCGCGTGTGGAGGAGAGATGTAACGGGGCCGCCTAGGCCGCAGCCTGGGCGGGAGCGCAAGGCCGCGCCGGGAGCCGTCGCCGCCGCCGGCCCCTCGGATCAGCTTGGGCAGTTCTCAGCGGAGCCAGGCCCTCCGTCGCAGCGGCCGCGGTCCGGGTCGAGGACGCCGTTGAGGTGTGGGCCGGGCCTGGTGGCCCCAAGCTGGGCGCCCTCGGGGAAGAAAGCCGGAACCCCGGCTGGGAGTCCGCGCCGCGGAGCCGCCCGGTCCTGGGCCGCGGTCGCCAGACTCTGAGCCCCATTCCGCCAGCCCACAGCTCCGGGACCGGGAGGCTGCGAGGCCCGAGACGGGAAAAGAAGGAGGAGGGCAGGCGGCCAAAGTTAGGTCAGTTAGTTGGTGGTCTTTTGAAATTGTGTTGGGTCCTCGCAAACTATCGCCTTGTGACTGCAGAGTCACACAGCGGACAAGTTCCAACTCTAGGAAGGCTCGGGGTCGGCCCCCGTCGCAGCTAGGTTCTCCTTCCTATCCACCTCTTAGTCATCCTCATCTCCTTTCCCTGGTGAAGCAAAGTGACATTTTTGACGTGGAGGTGGGGGTTGGCTTCTTTGGTTCGAATCAAAACCGGCCAAAGTTTACAAAAATAACTTGGAGTACGCACTTTGTATCTTGAATGTAGCGGACTGTCATCTCACTAAGTGGTTCCTTTGGTGAAGCACCCAGGTTCTCGGTTGATTTCTGTTTTTCACTGGTCCATTTGCCGACATCCTCTAAAGACAACCCCGCCGGTGTTTGAGTGCTACCAGGTAGTGCGGCGGAGCTACCGCCTGACCGGAAATACAAAAGGCCCAGGGAGCTGGCTCCTGAGAACAGATAGATAGCTGGGCCTCCTCCTTGCCTGCGTTGTACGCGGTTGATGGAGACGCTGGAAACAAAAGAAAACAGTTTGTTTGTTCACTGAAACCTAGAGGGAACATTGAACTAAAAGTAGAGTGGCAGTGGGCACGAAACTGCCATGATAGAGCCCCCTCTCTGCTCTGCCACTGATGCCCATCATTTTTCTAAAAGAAAGGAGAGCTAATCGCTTCCGTGTTTAAGTCCCCCAAAGTTGCTGTCCCTCTAGTCTTATAGGTTTCAGTTTAGGAAGATAGGTGAATGCATGCTGTTTCTCCTGATTTTATTGAAATTACTTTAATTCATCCACCCTCTCTCAGGTATTTTTAAATAACTTTTATCTCACTGCCCTTCATGAACTCCAGAGTTCCTTTCTCTAAAGCAAGTATTTAATTTTTTTATTCTGGTTAAAGTCCTTTATGGTCTTATCTGTAACAATTAATTTAACTTCTTTAAATTTTAAAAAAAAAATAATGTACTTATTTTTAATTTTATATGCATTGTTCTTTTGCCTACATGTATGTCTTATCTGTGTGAGGGTGTTGGATATCCGGGATTGGAGTTACAGACATTTGTGAGCTGCCATGCTGGTGCTGGGAGTTGAACCAGGTCCTCTGGAAGAGCAGCCCCAGTGTTCTTAACTGCTGAGCCACGTCTCCAGCTCCCCTAACGTCTCCAAAGTTCGTTCGTTCCTTCCTTCCTTCCTTCCTTCCTTCCTTCCTTCCTTCCTTTCTTTCTTTCTTTCTTTCTTTCTTTCTTTCTTTCTTTCTTTCTTTCTTTCTTTCTGTGTGTGGATAATATGTTGTGCCACGGCATTCATGTAGAGATTGGAGTCCAGTGTGTCAGGCAGTTCTCTCCTTCCACTGGATGGGAGCCACATGGTCCACTCAAGAGGGCAGGTTTACCCACTGAGCCATTTCATCACCCGATCCTGACTTCTTAGTGCCCACTACAGACTTTTCTGTTTTGTTTTGTTTTGAGACAGAGTTTCTCCATGAAAGAGAAAGCAGTCTCTTTGGTCTCGCTGGATGCTTTTGCACCTAATTATTGCACTGCCATTTTTCCAGTTTTATTGTGTGCTTCATATTCATGATCATGATCATGTTTAGTCTTCCTTTTGATTTAGATATTATTCCAACTTTGTAGAGGAGAAAAGAGAATGCAGAGAGATTCTTTGGCTTGCCTCTGACTACCCTACAAAGGCTAAGATAATACGTGATTTAATACAGCTCTGTGAGTCCCAAACAAAGCTTAAGGATGGTATTCGTTCTGTGCTCTGCCTTTGTATGTGTGTTTGCTCAGCCTGAGAAAAGCTATCTTCTCAATTCCCTTTCCTTAAGGGGAGTCCTTGGGTCACCACCTGTCCCTGGTCTGTATGAGCCCCCCTCCCTCCAAGCACTTCACATTCCTCTTTGTCAGTCTGGTGCCTGTCCTATGCTGGGTTTGTGTTTCTGAAGAGCAGGAATTGGCTTTCTTCATTTTTTTATTTTTGCCTCTTATGTTTTGAGACAAAGGCCTTACTCTGCATCACAGGCCGACTTCAAATAAATACAAAATGATTTTCCTGCTTCAGCCTTCTGACTGCTAGAATTACAGGAGTGAGCCACCAGGGCCAACTGACCTAATTTCATTCTGGTATCTCCATGGTCTGTCCCCATTAACCCAGTTTGGCATTCCCAGGCTGTCAGACATCTAGAAGGGGATTTACAGTTTTAAATTGTTTTCTAAAATTTGAGCTCAGGAAAAAGTTTAAGTACTTACTAATTTAAGCTTATTTTACTTAAGTTTTTTGTTGTTGTTTTCAACACTGAAAATTAGTCTATGGTCATCTTTATTTGCAAATGAAGCAGTTTTGAGTTTTAATAGATTGGAAGAGTTATAACTATGGAGGAATAGTAGACCATGGTGAGGTGGGATGATACGCTGAGTCTCCCTGGTTTCAAGTGTGAAATACTACATTCTTCGTCATATTGTCTCCATTTTTTTCTCCATGGGGGAGGGGGGAAGAGAGAAGGAAATTGTGGATGGAGATTCTTTCAGTTCAGGAGGGAAGTCCTATTTTTATGTTGCTGATCATTGGGTTTGAGAGTTTAAGCCTGGTTAGTTGCAAAGCAAAAATTAAACAAGCTGGGCGAGGTAAGTAATCCTGTAAGTAATCCTAGACTTGAGATGGAGACAAGGATCAGGAGTTTAAGGTTAGCCTCAGCTATCTAATGAGTTTGAAGCTAGCCTGGGCTCCAGGAGATCCTGTCTTAAACAAAAGAAAGAAAATGTCATTGCCCCTGGTTGGTCAATATTATCCCAGTACTTCAGACAGAAATAAAGGAATTTCTGGTAGTGAAAAATTGAAACAGTTTGCTGGGTTTTTCTTGTTTGTTTGTTTTTATTTTATTTTTTGCTTTTATGAAACAGGTTCTCACTATGTAGTCCTATCCTGGCTGTCCCGGAACTCACTCTGTAGACCAGGCTGGCCTGAAACTCACAGAGATCTGCCTGCCTCTGCCTCCCAAATGCTGGGATTTAAGGCTTGCACCTGGCTTTTGTTATTAGTGTTTTGCCTGGGTGTTTGTCTGTGTACCATGTGTTTCCCTGGTGTTAGTGGAAGCCAAACTCATGGGACTAGAGTTGCAGATAGTTGTTGTTGTACCACCATGTGGGTTTGGGGAATTGAATTCAGATCCTTGGACTCTTTAACCAGTAAGCCATCTCTTTTAGCCCTTTAGCTATTTCTTTAATACAACAGTAATAAAAAGCACAGTTTTGTCAGGCAGTGGTAGCACATGCCTTTAATTCCAGCATTTAGGCAGAAGTGGGTGGATCTCTGTAGGTTAAAGGCCAGCTTAGTATACAGAGTGAGTTTCAGGGCTACACAGAGAACTCTGGTCTCCAAAAAACCACCACCACCACCAAAAAAGATATAATTTCATATATCTTATTTATATTTATACCTATGTATAAATACGATTGAAAAGTTATTTTAGGAAAAATGAACTTGAGAAAGCTTAGTAGTTTATTTTTTAGATTTATTTTATGTGTAGGATTGTTTTGGATGCATGTATGTCTGTGTGTCATTTGTGTGACTGCTCCCCTCAGAGGTCACAAGAGGGTATTAGAGCACTCTGGAGGCAGAGGCAGGAGGATCTCTGTTTAAGGTCAGCTTAGTCTACACAGTGAGTTCCAGGACAGGCAGGGCTATGTAGAGACCCCGCCTTAAAAACAACAAATAAATAAAAAAGAGAACATTGGATTTTCTGAAGCTGGAGTTATGGGCGATAGTGAACTGTCATGTGGATGCTGGGATTTTAACCTGTGTCTTCTACAAGAACCAAATGCTCTTAATTTTTGAGGTATCTCAACAAAGGGGAGTTTTAAGAAAGTTCATTTTTTATTCCCCCAGACAGGGTTTCTCTATAGCTTTGGAACCTATCCTGGAACTTACTCTGTAGACCAGTCTGGCCTCAAACTCATAGAGATCCCTAGTACTGGGATTAAAGGAGGAGTGAGCTGCCACCACCACCACCTTGAAAGTTTTGAATTTCAACATTAGCAAAAAAGATTTACAATGTTAACAAAGCAATAAATACATTTTAATTTGCAAAGCAGCTAATTCAGTGTTGAAGGCAACACCTAGAGTGTAGCCATTGCTTTTGTCAGGAACAAGGAAATAGCTACAAAGCCCAGAGCAAAGACTGTAGAAATTGATTGCACTGATCATGTCTGTCTTGTCCCCCTCCCTACACGTTTTCTCTACATCCCTCCCATTGAGTAGCTTCCCGAAGGGACTTTTCTCAAAGGGAACTTTGTGGATTTACAGGTGGGGAAAGTACATTTTATTAGTTATTATGGTGTAATAGTTGAGCCAAGGCACTGAGATTTGTAGCATCTCCCCCCCCCCCCCCCCCCCCC